AGTGTAAATATTGCGTCAAAATCAAATCAATTTGAGCGCGATTTAAACCCGGATGATTGTAACCACTCTAAGTTCGTCTGGCTTGGGAAAGCTAGCGTGTCTCTGACATAGTGATAACACTCGTTGCCTTCTCTAATGCAGCTCAACCAGGTCTCGTCCCATTCGTCGATATTTGTGATATCACAAATCCCGGAAAATATGCGTTGTAGTCCAAACGAGTCGTTCGTTGTAGTTTTGAAAAGTGATTTCTGTTAAACAAAATATCTCCTTTTGAATTGGACTTTAAGCTTTGTAACTTTGCAGATATTTTTTATGCTCAAACAGCAACATTACAGACTAACTAAAGTTGAAAAATTGAAAAAGCATAATAGCACCCCTTTAAACAGAGCTCACTACTATTATTAGCTTAAAGCACATTCAAATAACTAAAATATGTAATAAACAAACATGTACAGTGAAAGCAATGCATAAAGTGTGACTAACAATTGTTCCAGATTTGCAAAAGCCTGTGGATACATATTCTGTGTGGAATTTATTTAAATTAGAACATGCCTTAGATTTTTGTATTAAGATAACTATAAAAACTAGCCCCTGAAAGAGAATTTTTAGTATTTTAGAATTGAACAAAACACTAAACCTATAGTTTTAGCCACACACTTAAAAACAAATGAGTGATACACTGTTTATAAATCAAGCTGTTCAGGTATTAGATCTGGTTTAGGATAAGTTTCAAATGACAGCAAAAGTGATGAATGACACTCTTTCATTATAAGAGCTAACAAAGCATTAAGTCAAAGACACATTCGACACGTCCCAAATAAAACAGATTCATGAACTGCACATGACTTATGAATGAGGACAAGAGCAATGACAACTATCCAACAATAACGCAAGATCATATATATTAATTCTGCACAGTCACTAATAAACCTTAACACAAAACACATGCATATTAAATGAAACACTGTTTGCATTACGTATATTTCCACCGCTGTCTGACCCACAACAATAGAAACAGTAAATTAAAAAGAAAAAGTTAGAAAAATAACACTTTAAATTTAGATAAGGTGCATCCCATTTCTCTGGATCATCTCTATTGATTCTGCACATTGACTGTCTGGAGTCCATCAGTGGCACATTCAGCCGTTGTCTAACAGCTGAAAAGACATTCAAAAACCAAGTGTGCTTCTCAAAGCTGCATCCTAGTAAAGCTGCGTCCTTCCCAGTCCAGTCCTTCTGAGGCCTCCAGGCCACACATCTTCTCAGCATTTAATGCTAGAATGAGACGCTCTAATAAGTCCACTTGTTACGTCTTAAAAATGTTCACCTCTACAGTCAAGCAGTGAAAACACTAGGGCTGCCCTTGACTAAAGATTTTTCGGGTCGACTAGCAGTCGTTCATTTTAAGCATTAGTCGCTAATCGCACGTTTATTAATAAAACATTTAAATCATTATAATGAGACTTTAATTGCCTACATAGCCTAATAAGCGCTCTAACACACGCATAAAGCTTTCCACAGCACACCGGCAGAAGCTATGATTATGAATGAGTCGGGAAAAACAGCAAAGAAGCTACATTAATATTTTACTTTATTGATAAACTAGCGCTTTCTTTGTTTTCGGCTTAAGAGATGAAGTTGGAGACACTGACTCGTCATCTCTGCCTGTATACATGTTTCATACGGATTACATAATCTGAAAATATTTGTTTTCCATTTGAATTGGTTCAATTAAAAGTAGACATTTCACTCTCTATAGATATAGATATATTTTTCATGTCAGCAAGCATATCGTTTCGCGCTAAAGTTCACAGAGACCGAGACGGCAGAAAGCGCATCCTGTTTGCTTTCATTATTTTACAAAAGCACAATGTTTTGTTGTTATTGTGAGTGCACACAAATAAACTTAAGGTCTTTAAAGATTCGAAATATGTGACCCGTGCTTGCAAAATGAGTAGTAATGCGCACAGCAAATTTTGAGCTACGGGCAAAAAAAGCAACAAAAGTCGATTTTGGTCTAATTTGAGATTTTCACAAAAATTAGTTAATTAAGCCCTTCCCTTGTCTAGCGATCCCAGTGCTCCAAATAGTAATTAAACATCTAAAAGTATTTTTATTTGTTTGTTTTCTGCGAGGAGTACCTTTTCTCCACTCGCTTCTCGCGCTGCCTCTTATCCGAAGTGCACACATAAAGACAACAGACACCGACAGTGCTCTATCCCGATACACACATACACAGATTTACAGTAGGCTAAATATATTTAAGTAGTCACGCAAACGCAATCTGTTATAACGTAAGTGAACGTTTGGGGAACTTTTGGGGAAAAACATCGGATGTGAAACCGTGCATTACACTGTCTTAATATAGGCTGTCTGTCTCATTAATGTTAATCAAACAATAAAAGAAAAGAGGGAATCACTCGCTGCTTGATTGAATGGCTTTTGTAGTTTTAATAATCAGTTTATTTTTAATGAACACACTTAAGTGATTTTTACATTTTACTATTTGTTGTTCTTATTTGAATGCTTATTTATAACAACAAATTTTAAAATAAAAAACTGCTATATTGTGATTATTAATCTAGTAATGATTATTAAGAAAAGAAGTGGGGGGAAAGATGTAATGTTGCTGGGTGATTTTGCTTTGGAATCTTCAGAAAACTTTAAATCAGTTTTTCTCTGAATTTACTTTGCTGACTCCATCGACTTCACACAGGTGTAGCTCAGTCATTTTTCATCCGATTCCAACAAATCATACATCATTTTGAAGGTATTTTAATAGAGAATGTAAAATAAAAATAACTCAATTTTGAAAATGTGCTCATTTTGACAGTACAGGTCACATATGTATTACTCTTATCTGTATGACCAAAAATGAAGGAGTATTTTAAGTGCAAGTGACCGCTCTGGCACCTCCATCTGTCCTGCAGTGAGCACTAATGTTCAGCTTACACACTCCGCACATTTTTCTAGGTTAACATTATATTGAACGTCCATGTAAAGTTGCTGCTACTAACCGATTTCAGATGATAAGCCATAAATGATAGGCGAGTGATAGGATGTCCTGCCCGATGTACTTGTATTACCACTAAGCGGCAACCTCCCGCTCTCTCTCGTGAAGCCAACAAGGAAGTGACTTAAACTGTAATTAATCAACTGGCCGCTAGAGGCTGGCTGCAAAAGGGAGTCAATCCCATAGACTCCCCATGTTAAAATGCCTAACTTTACAGCAGAAAAAAACATGTTTACAGCCTGGTTCAAAAAATGATTTTGGTCTATATAGTAGGGCTGCACGATTAATCGAATGCAATTGTCATGCGCATTTGGTTAGTAAAGCCGGTTCTGTAA